CCCCCCCCCCCCCCCCCCCAAGCTAAGTTGGGACATGCAACTAAGGATGGCAACGGATCGGGTTCGGTCGGGTTTGAGTACATTGAAACCTGACCTAAGTTAGGTCGGGTCGGTTACAGTCAATTTCAGGTTTGAATACTAATTAAAGTATTCATGAAAAAATTAAGATTGAAATGCATTAGAAATTAAAAATTTTAAAGATGATATAAAATTTAAGATATTTACAAAAATAATTATGACCGAATAATCCCTTGACAAGTTCATTAAGAACAAAATGACATGGCTCCCTTGACACTCTGTCGCGACTGCAACAAACCTGCTTTGATTTGAGCAAACACCTCTAATTTTGCTTTGGTAATAGCAAAATATTATGTCTCCTTTGATTTCAATTATAGTCAATCGCAGGATAGAGTAACCGATGTAAAACATGGGGTTTTTGTTCAGGTCTCACGGGTGGCGCCAAAATGGTGGCGTAAATTATCTCGACCGGAATATCGTTCTTAGCTAGACACGAATGATAAATTGGTCTAACATAATACACCAAAATACAAATACATGGATTTTGACGTGGAAACCTCATTGAGAGAAAACCACGGACATTTTTTAGCAGTACCTTGCCAACAGAGAATTTTTGTTAATATCGAGAATTGTACACGGTACACTATTTAGGCTTAGAAGCCATTAATGGAATAATTTTCTTATGTTGGTCTTATGGGGGACCATCGATCACCCTTAGGGATTCGCTACTGTGCTTGTCATGGTATCGGGTATTGACAGCACAACCTAACGAGGTGCATGAGTCGTGTATCTTGCGAAGCCCCTCCTGTCCATCCACCGCTCAGTAGTGGGGCTCCGCACTGCCGTAGTGAACTATTGGGGGTGCCCTATAGGAATCTACCTCGGCTTGAGGCTACAATAGATGTGGTTAAAAACAAAGTGTCCACCTTCCTATCACCAATTGCTTTTAGGAAGCATTTGGCACCTCTTTAACTTCAAAACTCTGTTGTTAAGCATGCTGGAACTGGGAGTAGTCCCATGATGGGTGACCCACTGGGAAGTTCCAGAAAACGATCCTACATCTTAGATTTGACTTCATTGTGAGTTTTTGATTTGGATGATTTGACTTCATTGAGCTTAATATGGAAGTGTTGAAAACTAAAAGGTAAAAACTTGTCACGTCATAAAACAAAAATGACGTGGCAGGTGACCAAAAACATGAGGTGGCGGTAGTAATATCATAGAAATATGTGAAACGTTGGAGCGGTGATGCCATTTAATATTAAATTTGGGAGTATTGATGTAAAATAGAGATTTTGTTAGAAAGAAATAAACTCTTCTTTTTGATAAAACATACGGAGTACCATATACATTATCATTATAAAATTAAAATAAATAAATCTATTATTTCAAATTAAAATATATTCAAAAAATTTTAAATAATTAAAAGTTAAAATATAATGAAAATATAATTTTATAAAATATTAAAAATATTTATATAAAATATATTAAAAATATATAAAAATTTTAGACTATGTGAATTGAACCTATGTTGTGAAGTATATACTCGTATATAATTAAAATTATTAGTGTCACATAAAAATAATCATAAAATTACTGTCGTCTTCTTTACAATTAAAGAAATGTGGAAGCAACTATGCTAAACATAAAAATAGATGCGAGTTTGATTGGTGGTAACTGCGCTGTGAAATAACTATGCTAATTGTGATTAAAATCTAATTCACTCATGTTAGTGAGTGTCCGGCCAAATCTGAAGAGACCTCCAAGATGGGGCAAATGTGGATTATTCTTAGTCACAAAAGACGATAGTGGGTTTGAGTTTTGGACATGTTACGTCCATTCATATTCTACAGTTTCACGCTCAAAGCTCATCAAGAGATGAGGAAAAGGTGGTGAGCCTCCAATTCCACAATCCCCATGCACGTACAAATAATCTTTCACATTCTATCATAAGAAAAGAGACTAACAAATTATATTAAAGAATATAATAAGTAAAAGAATAATCACCATCTGATAAGAAATGGCAACAAGTGGTATAATGAGGAGATGCATGGTGCCTTTGTGCACAATCTATCTATCCCTGGCCTCACTTTCCCTCCTCGCAGATGCCGCCAACGACTATTGCGCCGTTGCCCTAAACAAGAAGCTCTGCGAGGAGACTGTGAAAGGGGCCGGGGATTGGAACCAAGCTATTACCAAGGCAATAACAAATGCCATTAGCCACATTGAAAAGGTGAACCATGGCCAGGTTAAGTCTACCATTCAAAAGACTAAGTCTGCCTCCACGGCAACCAGCGTTGATCGAACGTGCACCGAGGCCTACGCTAGCGCAAAGGATAGGTATTCACTTGAATTTTTTTTAAATAAATAGTACTCCATACTAAAATATGCTCTATTTAGGCTCCATTCCGTTCAACCAAATTTTTCTGATCTGATCTAATTTTTTGTAGTTCCGATCTGATCAGATTGGATCTAATCTGATATGGTCTGATATGATTGGATCTGATCTGGTTTGATTTGATTTGATTGGATCTGTTCTGGTCTGATCTGATTAATTATGATTTGATTTAAAATTCAAATTAATAATTGGATTTGACTTTATAATAACGTTTGAAAATTGTAATGATAAGTCATATTATAATATAATCAATATTTTTTATTTTATGATTATTTTTTAATAAAATAAAATTAGTTAATGCATATATTAGAATAATCATTCATATTGTAATGTAATAATATTTTTTATTTTATGATTATTTTTTTTTGAAATTAGAATATTAATTTAATATTTTAATAATTACTTCATATATACATTAAAATAAATATTTAATTTATATATACATTAAAAAGGAATTTCATTTAGATAATCAATATATAGAAGAGATAGTATTTTTATTAAAATATCTCATCCTTATAAAAGATCAAAACTTTAGAAACCCAAATTACAGGTAACAATTAAGGATTACTTTCTCAGTTTTCTATTTAACTTATTTATAAAGTTTATTCTTTTTCATTTTTAATAATAATAATAATAATAATTCTTGATGGGATTTGATCTGATCTGGTCTGATTGGATCTGATCTGATCTGATTTTAATAAGAATAAAAAAAAATAAGTTGAACAGAACGGGGCCTTAGTCACATTTAATTTGGACTTTGAGATGGCCTAGCAATGATTTTTATATTCTAACAATGAATATTAGGGAGTATTAATATACATCATGTCTGGATCACTTCAACTTTTGAAATATAATACTACCTCTGCTTTTTAGAATTTGTTCAGTTTTGAATTTTTTTTTCACTCAATTCTTTTCAATATTTTAATTACATATATGAAGGTTGGAGGAGGGGATGGAACTGGTGAAGAAAGGTGACAAAACGAGCAGCTTGAACTTCAAGCTGTCCGCGGCGTTGACCAGCCTCGAAGATTGCACCAACGCATTCCAAGACTTCAACCTCGAAATCTCCAACATCAAGGCCTTGAACAACAACGTCGAAAACGCCATTAGGGTTTGTTTGGCTGTCGAAAGATCAAACTCCGGCCATCATTGAGAAACAAACACACACAAACTATATATTCAACCACCGTCTCGACCAACCAACAATGATATACTATAATGCTTCATATATATTATGAGTAGTCTGCATGCATGTAATTTACATCTTATATTTAATTTCATGTGTCATGAACTGTTAGTTGTTTGAATAAAACGTATGTGTGAATTTGTTTTGTTTTTTTTGTACGTACGTGCTGCATGCCGTCCACATGCATGTTTCATTACTTCGTATTAAATAAGGTTGAAAAATTAACCTGGGTCTATCTAAGTATGTCAATTTAAAATCGGTTATTTCACACAGGAGGAGATAACTCATATGGTTTAATAACATCTCTTGTAAGATCGATGTGACGATGTTCTATCCGTATATATTCGGATAGAAGAACAACTTCTTCACACAAAAAACTGATCTAAAACGTGTTTTAAATGTAGGATTACCAAGGAATGAACCTTAGAGACTCCATACTCTTTAACACGCATTCTATGTGTAGAAAGGTTAATTTCATTGATCAAATATGTGGGAGTACATGTCTATATATACAAAAGAGTTCCTAATCCTATACAAGGTAGGAGTCAATAATAGGAAACAATATATTTCTAATCCTATACAAAGTAGGAGACAATAATAGGAAACAATATATTTACATTAAATATAGAATATATTTAACATGCTCCCGGCTACGTCGGATGAGGAGGTGGTCTGATACCCAGACTGGACTTAAACTCGAGGAAGAGTAGAGAAGGTAGACCTTTGGTGAAGATGTCAGCATACTGTGAAGAGGAGGGCACGTGAAGGACTCGAATATGGCCGAGTGCTACTTTGTCTCGCACAAAGTGTATGTCGACTTCAACGTGCTTAGTGCGCTGGTGCTGAACTGGGTTGGATGAGAGATAGACGGCGCTGACGTTGTCGCAGAAGACAAGGGTGGCGCGTCGTAGTGGTTGCTGGAGCTCAAGAAGAAGATTTCGTACCCAAGAAGTCTCAGCAACTGCATTTGCCACAGCCCGGTATTCTGCCTCTGCACTGGAACGGGAAGTGGTGGCCTGGCGTTTTGAAGACCAGGAAATCAGGTTGTCACCTAGAAAAATACAGTACCCGGAAGTGGAGCGTCTGGTGTCGGGACAGCCAGCCCAATCAGCATCAGAATAAGCCTGGAGATAGTCTGTCGAGGAGCGAGTCAGGTAGATACCGTGAGTGGCAGTGCCGCTAAGATAACGGAGAACTCTCTTCATGGCCGTGAGGTGAAAGTCGTGGGGCGCATGAAGGTGGAGGCAGAGCTGCTGAACGGCATAAGTGATGTCAGGTCTGGTGAATGTGAGATACTGTAGAGCACCAACTATGGACCTGTAAAGAGAAGGATCTGGAAGTGCTGTGCCGGAAGAGGAAGAAAGCTTTGCCTTGGTGTCGACTGGAGTGGATATGGGGCGGAAGGAGACCATCCCTGCCCTCTCAAGGATCTCATGAGTGAACTGTGTCTGATGGAGGAAAAGGCCCTGAGTAGTGCGATGAACATTAATGCCGAGGAAGAAATGCAGATCACCCATGTCTGTCATGGCAAACTCAGCCTTGAGTTTCTGAATGAGACTCTGAAGAAGCCCTGGCGAGGAGGCAGTGAGGACGATATCATCAACATATAATAAGAGGTAGGCGGTCCCCGAGGCATGCGTGAAGACGAAAAGAGAAGTGTCAGATTTGCAGCTGCGAAATCCAATAGTCTGAATGAAACCTGCAAATCTGTGATACCATGACCGGGGTGCCTGTTTCAGACCATAAAGAGCTTTCTTGAGCCGGCAGACATGATGAGGGTACTTTGCATCCTGAAATCCTGA